GTTTTCTACATTAGGGTCCCTTTTTAGGTGCCCAATATAGTACGGCACCCTTATAAAAAGGACCCTAAAAGGGACCTTAATTTAGAGAACTACCCATATGGAAACAGTCTTACTATACGATAGACCGCTACTATGGATTACTTAGTTGTTGAGTTCATAAGCCCCCCAAAAATGTACACTTTGAGTTCTATAGGGGATCATCTTACGTCATCTTCTTTGTAAACTCCGACCGCCACCCAAGGAGCAAAAGTGCCAATCAGGCACATGTTCGGCATAGAATTCCTCCGCATCCAGGGACGAAGCGTTGACCTGTGGACCAATGCTTTTTTGTGAAGGAACTAGTCACCCTAAGGGTCCACATATACTACTACTATGGAATTAGGTCCCCAAAACCATAATAAGAATGGTCTTTTGGGACCTAATTCCATAATGGTATTATATGTGGACCCTCTGGGTAACGAGTCTAAGATTCCAGAATGGGGATATGCAGCAAATCGAAATCCTGCCTCATGACAGTATCTGAAACGAAGCTAGCATGAGAGGTACACAATATGGAACACACATAAGCCTTCCTGATGATGCTAGTTGTTAACTATAGGAGAGGGATCTTCCTTGTGGCGGTTCGTTTGCTGACTTGGCGTCCGAAATTGGAAGGTACGCGGAGCATAGCAGCCAGGTTCCGTAGATACGCACACGAACTCCCCAAATTGCGCGTGGGGTTGATGAGTTCATAACTGCAACCCAACAGTTGTAGGTCATCATCCATTACCGGGTTCTTGTTAAGGACTTACTCTAAGCTACAATAAAAAGGATCTAGAGTCAAGAAGATGGTTTCCTTATTATGGTAACTTAAAACAGGTTCCATGACAAAAACCACCTGTTAAAAACAGCAATTAGGTTATCACCCCGTACAGCTGGGTCGGGCTCTTTAGTAGGGTTTAGCGTTCGGGTTCAGGTCTTTAGGGTTCAGGGTCTAGGGTTTAGGGCTTCTAGGGTTTAGGAATTGTGGGGTTTATTGGGCTGGAGAAGTAGCATTACACAGGGTCTGCGGAGCCCTCAGAGGCACAAAAACCTGCGGGGCGAACCTTCAGCAGAACTCGCAAAGGGCAGCCAGAACCATGTAATTTGCAGAATAACTCCTCCGACTTTTGATCTGAACCCACCTCTGTTCACCAACGACGAACTCCCTAAACCCTAAACCCTAAACCCTAAACCCTAAACCCCTAAGTGAAGAGAAGCTCTGGGTAGCAGTCCCCTCGCGGCTAAGGGGCCAAGTTTGAGGGGTTCAAGGTCCGGTCTTCCAAAGCTCTAAGCAGAACCCCCCCCCCTCCGAAAGCCTCAGTGGTTTAGGGTTTAGGGTTTAGGGTTTAGGGTTTAGGGTTTAGGGTTTAGGGTGATTTCTTGAGGGATCTGCAGATGGGTAGTTCTCTAAAGTCGGGTCCCTGTTTAGACCCCCCCAAAATTGTACGGCACCCTTATAAACAGGACCCTAGAATCCCTAGAAGGGACCCTAATCTGAAATACCCATATATAGGATTTCAAAATTCTGTATTGCACCAATGACTGTAATAATGGGGAAAGAGGCACCCGTCGGATCGGCGCGAGCGACGCGGCCGCGGTGTTGGGCATGATACCCTGAGTTGGACCACTGGCACAGCCAAGGATTTGACTGCTGATCAAATCAAGGTTTAGGGTTTAGGGTTTAGGGTTTAGGGTTTAGGGTTTAGGGTTTAGGGTTTAGGGTTTAGGGTAATGGAACTGGACTTGGCTGACTTCTGAACTCCTCCAGAAAGTTAAACTTTTAGTCTCCTCATTATAGTCATAAAGAAACCCAAAAAGTTAAAGTCCTAAGAGCCAACCAGAAGAACACCAAGTGGAGGGTCTGTTACGTCACAACGGCCTCATAACACGAAGTGCTTTCAAGCAAGATCGAAATCTGAGACATCCTGCTCACCAGGTAAAGCCCCACTACACTCTGAGAAACCAGCACCTTCGACCACTTCAACCAAAAGTCCCCGCACAACTCCAACATCTTGTCTTAGTAGGATTTTCTATCGATACCGTTGATGATATAAATCCTGCATTGCCTCAAGGACCCTAAACTATGGGAATTATAGGGTGTGTATATATATATATGTTCCTTATTTTGCGTAATGCAAACCCTAAACCCTAAACCCTAAACCCTAAACCCTAAACCCTAAACCCTAAACCCTAAACCCTAAACCCTAAACCCTAAACCCTAGGATTTCAATCATCAAGCGTGGTGCCGACTTCAGGGGTCTCCTGCCCTCTGGGTTTGGGGATCGGCGCTTGCGGAGCGAGTGAACGCTTGGGATTCAAGCTTAAGGGATTAGGGTTTAGGGTTTAGGGTTTAGGGTTTAGGGTTTAGGGTTTAGGGTTTAGGGTTTAGGGTTTAGGGTTTAGGGTTTAGGGTTTAGGGAATTACCCAGAGGCCCCATAGTAGTTCCTTTTTGGGGCTCATATTTAGAAGCCTATAAGGTAATCCCAAAAAGGAACTATTATCGGGGCCTATGGGTATACGGTAGCGACACGGCGAGGTCCAGGGTGCAGGAGCAAGGGCCAGGATTCATGATTAGGCTTCCTCAAAGCTCCGGGTCCTGCACGACGCTCTCGTGAAACAGGGAAGTTCAAAGAGCGCACCGCTCCCGTCTGTGTCGGTTTAGGGTTTAGGGTTTAGGGGCCGGGGCAGCTCTCAAGCCACAATGAAGATCGAACCTTCGACCGAACAGTAGCACAAGACAGTCCCACACATTTAAATCTAAAGCACCCCCAACGCCAAAGATCCCTTAGTGAACGTTTGCAGACCCTAGTAATATAGGGGCCAGAATAATTGTCAATACTACTTTGAAGGTTGCTTATCATAAATATAGTATCACATACCCCCAAACCCTTTCTTATTATTGATATTAGGGGTCTTGTCTGAATCGTTAGAATAGGGTGTTGGGGCCCACTATACAATATTTATAACATGCACCACCCCCCTTCAAAAAAAAACAAAAAAGTATAGGCAATTGTGTAGGCGCCTACATATTAAGGCCCCTATATTTACATTATGCCATAATGTATGACAAGGAACCCCCAAAAAACCCTGTTCTCTTTATTCAAAGCCCCTAAGGCCCCTATATTACATTATACCATAAACTATAACTAACAAGGAACCCCCCCC